GAGTCCATCATCTCTCATGTGAACCCCCTTTTTTTAATTATCATAAGTACTATTCATTTAAAAAGTAGAGTTTTAGTTTGCCTTTCTGATCAATATGTATTTTTAAAAACTATAATTACTAAAAATGTTTTCAGAAATCAATATATTTATGAAAAGCGCTAACAGAACTTGTTAAACATCAAATTTGTAAAACTTGTTAACTTTCAAACTTTCATAATTAACTGAAATGCATGCCAGTTGAGCAAGTCTGTATCCAATTCATTTCAGCATAATGTCAGTTGTATTCATGACACTCAATAAACAGGCACCAGAAGCAGTGCCAAAAAGAAAATGCTCCCTTTCTTAATGAATGTTTCCTTTCTGTCAACTCTTATTCCCATTAGGAGGTTTGATCATACATTTCTAACAGTAATTTCATTGGTTCCCTGAGGACATTCTTATGACTCTGAACTGTAGAGTCTAAAGTTATAGTTTACTTACTGGGTCAATTCATGTAACTTAGCACTTCTTTTTCCTCTAATTTTTCATTGATTTCAATTAAATATTTCCCAATTTTTTTAAACTAAGATTTCTTTAGGGAATCCTTGAGGTACTTTATCTAGGTGAACGTGAGTGGTCTGGAAAACATTTAGGCTCCCCTGAGGAACAGTTACCTTACTGACTGAACACTTTCCAGTCACAGCCCTAATGTCTGCTTTCCCAAGACTCCCCTTTCAACTCATACATACCCATCTGAAGAGCCTGAAATTCTGTACTCAATGAAAAATGAAATGTAATGTTCACAGTAAAGGTATATCTTTCCCTCCAAGGCAAAACAGTAAAATTCTATTAAATATCACCTAAGAAGGATGTCTTAACAAAATGGAGAACAACCAGTCTTCAGGCAGATGAAGAGAGAACTCTATCTGTATAAGGCAGCATGCTATATCATATGGGGGGAGGGGACAGAGGCCTCTAAGGTGGTAGGTCTGTGTTCTAACTCCACTTCCCAAATGAGACACCAGACGCTACACTGCAGGTGTCACTTTCAAGGTTAGATACCATAGACAATCTGCACATGACTGCACTGGTGCCTAAGCCATCTATTAGCGTGTCATATGTGTTTTGTATCATAAGTATCTCTCTCAATATTTTCTGGCTTCCCAAATTGTCTATAAGCTTCTCTGCTTTCTACACTTGAGGCCAATGTAGTATTGCTGCTCCACAGTCCCAGTCTACTTTTCTCTGATGCCGACTATATGGAAAAACTAACCTGCTACCTCTTTATCACAATTTGAAAATCCAGAAAAGGTGAAATATAATTGACCAATCTTGAGTAAAGTGACTTCCCTTCATCCAGTCATCTCTGGCTGGAGAAACGGAAGGAAAGGTCACATAGTATGAACATAGCTACCAGCAAAGGGTCCCAGGAAAGAAAAATGATGGGCTGAGGTACATATAAGAAAAAGAATGGTACCTACTACAGCAGTTGAAATCTTAATGATTCCTTTATCAATTTCAATGAGAAATTCATTTTTACATAGTATATAAATATTTGTCTTCAGTTAGTTTTTGGTTGAATAAAATTATTTGTAATTGGATTAATACAAAAAAATGCAGTTTTGTTGTTGTTCCAGAGTTTCATCTTGGAACTCTGTACTTTTAATCCAGCATTTCAAACTTCGGGAATACCACATCTACTTCCACCATTTTCCTGCGAACTGGTGTTCCCGGGCTGGAAGCCTTCCACACCTGGATCTCCATCCCCTTCTGCTTTCTCTACATAACCGCCCTCTCGGGAAACAGCCTGATCCTCTTTGCCATTGTCACCCAGCCCAGCCTCCACGAACCTGTGTATTATTTCCTCTCCATGCTGTCCACCACTGACCTCAGCCTGTCCGTATCCACCCTAGTTACCATGTTGGGTATATTCTGGGTATATTCTGGTTCGACGTCAGGGAGATCAGCTTTAATGCCTGCTTGTCACAGATGTTCCTTATTAAACTCTTCACTATCATGGAATCCTCAGTGCTGTTGGCCATGGCCTTTGACCGTTTTGTGGCCATCTCTAATCCACTCAGGTATGCCACCATTTTAACTGATTCCAGAATAGCTCAAATTGGAGTGGCAATTGTCATCAGGGGGATACTAAGGCTGACACCAAGGGTTGCACTTCTTTTTAAAAGACTGTCCTTCTGCCACAGGCACGCGCTCCACCACTCCTACTACTTCCCCCCTGATGTAATGAAGCTCTCGTGTACAGACAGCAGGATCAGCAATGCAGTTGGGTTGACTGCCATGATCTCTACTGTTGGGGTGGACTCAATCCTCATCCTCCTTTCTTACATTTTGATTATTAAGACTGTCCTCAGCATGGCATCCCCAGAAGAGAGGAAGAAAGCCTTCAGCACATGTATCTCCCATACTGGGGCTGTTGCTATTTTCTACTTTCCATTGATCAGTCTGTCCTTTGTTCACAGATTTGGGAAACGAGCCCCAGCCTATGTTCATACAATGATTGCTAACACGTACCTCCTGATCTCTCCTGTAATGAACCCCATCATCTACAGTGTGAAGACCAGATATGCAGAGCTGTGATAAAAATTCTCCATTCCAAAGATACATAGAATCACAGAATTCTAGAGATGGCCTACATTGTCAATTTAAAACAAAACTGGTGATCATGAAACAAAAATTTAAAATTAAAGCTGGAATATATTTAGAACATCAACTAGCTTGACCCTTTGTTTTACAGATGAGGAGACAGAGACATAAGAATAGAAGTAATGAACAGTGTAAAGTGTAAAGTCCTAAATCTATCATTTCACCCATCACTGTTCATTCTGAACTGTTGTTTATCCTGCTAACAAACTGTAAGGGCCCCATTTCTCTTGGACACAGAGGTCAAGTGAGCTGGCCTCCCTCCAGGGAAGTTTCCTTAGCATTACCCATACTTTTCAGCCTGACTTGTTTAGATTTCTGAATCTCTCTCCCTAAGCTACCCATGACAGATACATAGATGGTTGGATGGATACAAGACATAAGCTATCTTTTATCTCACTGAAGGATGCAATTATATGCCTATTAAAAGGGCTTCTCATTCTCTGATAGCAGCTTGTGGCCAAATTTGGGATCTCACATTTGTCTCACATAAAGCTATTATGTCTTTGCATAAGATCTGAGGATAGGGAAAAGAGCAAATAGTGGTCAGAGGTGTGAATTCTGGGACCTTTGAATCTTGGATTTGTTCTTCCTTGCTTATCCATGATGGGGATAATCCAAGTCAAATCTTTTAGTTCCTATTTTATCACACTATATTTTAAGACTGCTGGTCTCCAAACCCTCTCCCCTAAAACCAAATGAAAGAGAATCTCCCAGTTGCAGTATGGACCCAGATGAGGAATGAAGAAGAATCCTGGGGAGATGAACAGTTTTACATAACTACCACCGATGAAGACACCTGCAGAGTTAATTCCCAAGATTCAGAGGTCCTTCTTCTTAAAGCCAAGCCTTTAGCTCTTTAGAAACAATTAGCTCTAAAGACCAGGGTACCTAAGGAGCCTAGAAGAGAAAGTGTTTGATGAGGTCAGATCCTAGGTGTTTGGGTGGCAGGGCAGGGGCAGAGGAATGCTGGGCTTCCAAAATCAAAAAGCTTTCCCTAACATGAATGGCTTGTTGGCAGAGGTTCCAGGAAAGACAAGCTCTAGGAGTATCAAGACTCGACCCAAGTTCTCCTTGGGGAAAGGACTGTGGCCTGGAGGCAGCTTTCAGGTGTGGAGAAACACATCAGCCATGAGCAAAGAGAAAAGCCTTCACAAAGGACCATGCCAGGCAGCTAGGATCCGCTGGAAGCCACACACCCTGCCAGCACCTTCATCTCTAGATAAGTCACTGGAGGGAGCCACTCCCTTTCATTTGATGACCTCCAAAGGCATTTCTTTTTTTTACTTAACAGATTGACTTGTGGTCTTTTTTTCTTAGGTTTTTTTCTCATCTTTTAAAAACTGCCATTTTTGTGTTTCTTTTTCCCCTTGCTGACCTTAGACCTGGGGATCCAGAATCCTGAAAATTTGAAGGAAAAAAAAATTCCCTATCCCCACTGGCTTCATATACCCATTATTCCCTTCTCTGTCTAATTCCTACTCATGTTTGAAGACTGAACAAAAGGCTTATCTTTGCCAGGAAGGTTCCCCTGATCATGCCTCTCCCCCTCCCATGCATTAAATGCACACCTTAAGCTAACACTTATTCCAAAACTCTAATAATTGGGTTACTTGTCTATCTTCCACGATAGGTAGGGCATCTGAAGGTCAAAAGATGTGTCTTTCATCTCTGTATCATGAGCATCTAGCAAATAGCCTTGTACATAGTAGGTCATATAAGTAGATGCTTATAAAATGAATGAATAATTGAAGGAAAGAAAAGAAAAGAGAACATACCTGGAAAGGGTTCTCAGTAGGGTATCTGTTAACACCTATCTGAGAAAAGGACCATCCAATATCCAGGTAATGAAGGTGTGGGCCAGAAGGAGTCCAAAGGAATTTGGAAAGGATACATTTTGGGATAAGCATTGTTTTCCCCAGGTTCCGTTTTTAAAATGTAAATGGGAGGTGCCTGAGTGGCTCGGTCAGTTGGGCATTCCAGTCTTTGTTTCAGCTCAGGTAATGATCTTGGGGTCCTGGGATCAAACCCCATGTTGGGCTCCACACTCAGCGCTGAGTCTGCTTATCCCTCTCCCTCTGCTCCTCCCTCTACTTGTGCTTGCTCTCTCTAATAAAGTAAATAAATAAATAAAAAACTTTAATGTAAATGGACCTTGAGAGGGGCAATTGATAAATGAGTTTGAACTATCCTCTTTCCCTTTGGAAGAGGGCTTCAGAGCTTATGAAAGAGCCTAAAGGGCTTGGAAGAGTAAGAAGGGAGAGTACGAGAGGGAGAGCTAAGGTGCATTCAGTTCCCAGGTTTCCAGGGTTGGCCTCTCTGATTGTGCTCCATGTCCTAGCAGGCTAGCAGGCTGCCAGGGTGACCTCACCCTCTCCAGCACCCCCTTCTTGATGCCAGCTATGAGTTCCTGCAACTTCACACATACAACCTTTGTACTTATTGGTATCCCAGGATTAGAAGCAGCCCATTTTTGGATCGGCTTCCCCCTGCTTTCAATGTATGCCGTGGCAGTGTTTGGAAACTGCATCGTGGTCTTCATCATAAGGACAGAGCGCAGCCTACATGCTCCCATGTACCTCTTTCTCTGCATGCTGGCAGCCATTGACCTGGCCTTGTCCACATCCACCATGCCCAAGATCCTCGCCCTCTTCTGGTTTGATTCCCGGGAGATTACCTTTGATGCCTGCATTACCCAGATGTTTTTTATTCATGCTCTCTCAGCTATTGAGTCCACTATCCTGCTGGCCATGGCCTTTGACCGTTATATAGCCATCTGCCACCCACTGCGCCATGCAGCAGTGCTCAACAATACAGTAACAGCCCAGATTGGCGTGGTGGCTGTGGTCCGTGGATCCCTCTTCTTTATCCCACTGCCTCTGCTCATCAAGCGGCTGGCCTTCTGCCACTCCAATGTGCTCTCACACTCCTACTGTGTGCACCAGGATATGATGAAGCTGGCCTATGCAGACACGTTACCCAATGTGATCTATGGTCTTACTGCCATTCTGTTGGTTATGGGTGTGGATGTCCTCTTCATCTCCTTGTCCTATTTTCTGATTATACGAACAGTTCTACAACTGCCTTCCAAGTCAGAGCGGGCCAAGGCTTTTGGAACCTGTGTGTCACACATCGGTGTGGTGTTAGCCTTCTATGTTCCTCTCATTGGCCTCTCAGTGGTACACCGTTTTGGAAACAGCCTTGATCCCATTGTGCATGTTCTCATGGGTGATGTTTATCTACTTCTGCCTCCTGTGATCAATCCCATCATCTACGGTGCCAAGACCAAACAGATCAGAACTCGGGTGCTAGCTATGTTCAAGATCAGCTATGACAAGGACCCTCAGGCTGTGGAGAACAGGTGATCCTTACCACTCCACTCTCCCTTATCTTTAATGGCGTGACATAAGGATTTCCTAATGCTAGCTTAATTCTAGTTGTCTATAAGCGTATCGATGATTTTCTCAGCTGTGGCCTCCGAATTCTGCCTCTGCTTGGGGTGAAAGTTTGGAGGCTACCATTATTTCCTTCCATAGGTCAAAATGTTATTGATATTATTATTGTACCAAAAGTTTAAATTAGAAAAACCACCAATATCCCAATATGTAGTAAAAAAACATAGAGAAGAGTGACAAAAAATACAACTGGCTTTTTAACAAGGGGAAAATTATTCTACCTGACTAGTAATCTGAGAAATCATATACTAAAACAATAATTAGGCAGCATTTTTGTCTATTAAATTAGCAGTTTTTATTAATGAAAATTCACAATGTTGAAATATAAATTCATGACCATCAAAGGTGATGGTATAATTGGCATATGTAGCAAGAACTTTTTAAAGTTTCTATGCTTTAATGCTATATTCTCACTTTTGGAAATCTATCCTAACAAAATATCCCTAAGTGCAGAAAGCGGGTTTTTCATAAAATATATTGGTTACACAATTATTTAGAGAAATCATATTAAAAATACTAGGATATAATATATAAAAGTAAGGAATAGTAAACTCAAGTATGGTCCATTTATTTAATGGAATATTATGTGGAATAATCTATATAAAAGGAATATTGTGTGACTTTTAAAGAACCTACTATAAAATGAAACATGCATATAATGTTAAAAAATAAACAATAAGGACACATGATTGAAACTAACTTGAAAAGCACCTCTGCCTTGAAGGAAATGTGCTCAAATTAATAGTGACTTATTTTTGTTTTTACTTTCTAAATTTCTTTATTATGGAGATCTTGTTTAGCTGATGTGCAACTTTCAAAATGAAGAAAATGAAACTGACAATTTACATAAAACAAAGCTTGTCACAGACCTCACTGTTGGTTTACTATGCATTATCTGGGAATTTATCTAAGCTCTACACAGTAATGCCAATGAACATGTCTTGAGTGCTTATCATGTTCTAGGCACTGTGCTAAGTGCTTTAGTGGTTTTATCTGATTTTCACAACTTTTTGGAGTAAGTACCATTTTTGCCTCCCATTACAAGTGAGAGAAATGAGACTTTCATTAACAAGATAATTAAGCCATACAGTTTGTGGGTGCTGTGCCAAGATTTGAAATTGAATTTGATAACCAAATACAGTTACTTAATTTCCATGTTATATTGCTTCCTTTTTAACATCTGCCATTTATTTCCTCAGCCTGTGCAAATCCTGTTTTCTCTCTGCTGTGTGCCTTATAAGATGAATGTATTTGTGTTGAGACATAACCCTGCCCTCATGAGTAACAAATCCAGAATACTGTTCAGGTTTTATAGCCACCTTTCATGTTCCACAGCCTGCTTCTTCCCAGATTAAGGAAGAATATTTTTGTCTATTTATCTCTTATATATTCTCAATCATATTTCCCTTTTTTAAGTATATTCTGTACCTGTCAAATATTTTGAATGTCTGGTTTTTAATTCAGGTATAAGATATAATAAAATTTTATTTTAAATTTTGCTAAGTGTTATACATACTGCTTTTATACTTATAGAATCCTATAAACTCAGATTTGAAGATACAGGAGATTCCCTAGTCTACTTTCCCACCCCAGGTACTGTTTGCACAACTGTAAAGATGCTGAATGCATCAAGGTGGGATATTTCCATTGTATGGTTGAAATCAGATTTCATGAGAAGCTGAAATCTGACTTCAATCATTGGGTTCCCTTAGAAGCTTCACTGAACAAATCTTGGGTGGGGGACTTGGGTGGATAAACTATGGGGGAGACTCCAACCTGTGGGCTCTTTCTTAGGAGAAGGAACCTCAGACACTTAACCTCTCTCCTGCAGAAGGGCCTTTGTAGTATATGTATCTGTAAGCATCCAATTGTGATTCCCTGCTCAAAGGTAGTAAAGTGGCCTCCAAAGTCATGCAGCTAATCAACGCAGATAGAATAGGCTGAATGAAAGAGAGAGGATGGAGGAAATGGGTGACTTCCCTAAAGAAACAAAGAGATGTCCATGCTCTATAAAAGTAGAGATTCAGGTATCAGGACTTACCCCAAATAATTTTTATTTTTTTATTAGATTGAGCCTCAGTAAGTCTCTCCCTATAACCTCCATCCTCTTCTATCTTCCTGTGCATTACTCAACCTTAAATCATACCCTCCTGCCTACCCCCATATGCCTAAGAGCATAGCCAGATTGACAGTTTAATAAAGCATGTATGTTTTGCTTTTAAATCTCTCACAGTATCCCAGTGCAGCCCAACTTATTCATATTCTATTGCCATCTCCCCCACCCTTCCCTCTGCCCTAAGATTTTCATTTTTTTCTTTTAAACACTGCTTTCGTTTTTTTAAGTTTTTATTTAAATTCCAGTTAGTTAACATACAGTGTAATATCAGTTTCAGGCATACAATACAGTGATTCAGCACTTCCATACAACACCCAGTGCTCACCGCAAGTGCCCTCCTTAGTCCCCATCACCTGTTTCACCCATTCCCCCACCCACCTCTCCTCTGGTAACCATTAGTTTGTTCTCTACACTTAAGAGTCTGTTTCTTGGCTTGTCTCTCCCTCTTCCTTTGCTCATTTTTTTGTTTCTTAAATTCCACATATGAGTGAAATCATATGGTATTTGTCTTTCTCTGACTGACTTATGCTAAGCGAAATAAGATTTTCATTTTTTAAAAGTAGTTCAGGGACACCTAGGTGGCTAGATCAGTGAAGCATCCGACTCTTGGTTTCAGCTCAGGTCATGATCTCGGGGTCCTGGGATCAAGCCCAGCATCTAGTCTGCTTGTCCCTCTCCCTCCCCCTCTGTTCCTCCTCTCTCTCTCTCTTTCTCTCATAAATAAATACTTTTTAAAAAGTAGTTCAAAGACTTGTTTGCCAATATTCATAGCAACACTATATTCGCAATAGCCAAAAAAGTGGAAATGACCCAAGTGTTCATCGACAGAGAAATAGATAAACAAAAGACGGTATATACATACAATAGAATATTATTCAGACATAAAAAGGAATAAAATTTAGATACATTTGACAATATAGATAAACCCTGAGAATATTATGCTAAGTGAAATAAGCTAAAGGACAAATATTGTGTGATTCCATTTATATGAAAGATGTAGGACAGGCAAATTCATAGAGATAGAAAGTAGGATAGAGGTTACCAGGGGCTGGGGCGGGAGAGGATGAGGTGTTTTTAATGAGTACATAGTTTCAATTTGGACTGACCAGAAAGTTCCAGACATGGATAGTGGTGATGGTTGCACAACAATGTACAACTAATTTAATGCTACAAAATTGCATTTTAAGAATTTAAAAAATTCTTAAAATGGTAAATTTCATGTTATATTTATTTTACCACAATAAATAATCATGAAAGAAAAAAGGTAAAATTTTCATTATCATCATCAATTTTTTATCAAGAACATGTTGAGGAGCAGCTGGGGGGCTCACTCAATTAAGCATCCGACTCTTAGTTTCAGCTCAGGTCATGATCTCAAGGCTGTGAGATAGAGCCCCATGTTGGGCTCAGCACTCAGCACAGTCTGCTTAAGATTCTTCCCTCTTCCTTTTCCCTCCCCCTCTGCTCCTCTCCCAGCTCAAACTGTAAATAAATAAATAAATAAATAAATAAACTTAAAAAAAAAAAAGAACATGTTGAAATGATTATATTTTGGATATATTGGGTTTAAGAAAATACCCTTGTATAAAAGTACCCAAAGAGGACAATATTTAATCTCCTGTATTAAGGGAAGGAAAGAGCCCTAGAATGGGATTTATGAGCTCTGAGCTATAGTTCCTATTCTACCTCTAGGTGGATGACCTTTTCTAATGAACATAAATCTCTCTGAATTAACTCTATAAAACATGGTGATTAAATTAGATAATCTCTAAATCCCATCCTATTTTGAATATTATGTGCTCTGAACACTGAGAAGCCTTGAACAATTCCAAAGGGCCTGCAAAGCTGGAACCCTGCAGGGACTCCTGGAAACAGCCTTCTGCCTCACAAATGAAAGCCAAGTCCCTTCCCTGAGGCCACACCTGCTATTTGCCCAAACAGTATTTATCAACTCGATCTCCTACCCCTGATTCTGCCATTAAAGGCTCTTCTAAAACTCAAAACTGCTCTCAAAGATGGGGATTTTCCACCCCAGAAAATATGCACAAACTCTCTAAAAGGAAGCTCAATCCAATAGGAAGAGCAAACAGTTCTGACTCATCAAGCCAATTCACCCTCTGTGAGGCTTGTTTTCCTCCTCTGTTTATTAGGGATGATAACCATATCTACCCCTCAGGGTTTTGTGAGAATTATGTGCAACAATCCACACATAATGCTTAGCACAGAATTTAGTACATAGTACGAACTCAATAAATATTCATTATTACCATGGAGGAGGTGGCGGGTGACAATCCCTGCCTCACAGTGATATTGAGGGGATAGAGATGTGAGTTTCTGCCTGTCGCAAGCAAGCCACAGATTTTTCTTAAACACTCATCTACTTAGTCATTAGCCTGGAAGCTTGGAATTTAAGAACTGGGTCTCTCTCTCTCTCACCTATACCAGGACTAAGTGTAGTGAATGGCTGAAGTAAGATTCAACTGGGATTCAAATGGGATTGAAATGATTTATCTTATGCACAAAAGGAGGAAAAACAACAGAAGGCCATAGTTTTCAAAGTTGTCCCAGGAAAATGTGATTGCTTTCTAGAAGGTGGCAAACTAAAGGGGGTGTTCTGGCCATTGCTTATTCCTTGTTCACGTGGACACAGTCCTGGGAGAGTGTTTGCCTTTTGGTTCCCATTGATCTAGAAGGGCTTACAGGAAGAGGCCCTCTGGGAACTTGGGGAGGTGAGTCAGTTCATACAGGTGGTCCCAGGCAGCCCCTGCCGTGAGAGGCCTCTGGGTCTTAAGCA